GTGTACAAACAAGTATGAAAAGGTCATCAGCGAGTCAGTCCGTTGTATGCAATGATTTATAAGATCCACCAGGCGTCGGTATAGAGCAGCACAAGCAACACTGTTGCGGCACAGTATCAACACAGTTTGTTAGATGTGCCGAAACAATACGTGAGGTTTCGATTACCCATCACTAGACAATACAATGGACCAGCAACAAGGGGAGAGGAACACAGGTGAAACACATCAGGGGAACAACACAGGGGAACAAGACAGGAAGTCAAACTAAAACCAAAGCACAGAGAACTGATTACAATATAAAACCGAAGTACAAAATACCTAAAAATCCATACCATGTTCACAAGGACATGCATGGACAAATCAACTTTTGGATTTCCATGGTGCATAAAGGGATTTTATGTAGGGTATCTAAAGTCAAGTAATTCAAATTGTTGTGCCACACATGATCCACCCTAAGCATACACAAGCCTGACGTTTCCAGCAATCTTCAAGCACTCCCTATGTTGGATGAGATATAGTATTCTCTTGTAAATTAATCTAATATGATAACATGAGTTTAATTCTTCTCAGATGAAAGGCACTTATAGGTGATGAGTTGAAAGAATCACAGCATGTTCTCAGTGGTTCTACTCTCTCTTAAGGTTTTTTCTAAGTGTATTTCAGCAGCAGACATAGATGTAGATCCTAAGGCCCCTGACCCCGAGACACCGTAACATATTTTTTACATTTTGTCTGATCTGTCTCAAAGTGCTGCTTCCACGCGAGTTTTGTATTTTTTTTTTAATCAAACATCATTCCAAAAAATCTAACAACATTGACCTGCTCCATTTCAAAGAGGTCAATGACGGAAGTGGGCAGAGATTTTGGTAGAAGTGAGCAGGGTTATTAGCAGAAGTGAGCGGGGTTAGAAGGGGGAAAGGGGCGGGACTTTGGTTGCAGAGTCACAGTCTCCAGTGATCACTTTTGTGACTATGCAACTGGGCTCAGATACGAGCTGCACCGTCACAGAAATGACAATGGAAACTGGTATTAGCCGATAAAGGGGGAGAGGGGTGTAAAAAGGAGGGTCACTCAGGAGCAGGGGAAGTGAAAGGAAAAAGCCACAACACCAACAAAAAATATACATGTGTTAGTACAAGACTTGCCAATGGAATAATAATATCATTTCTTCAAAATGTGAATGTGATTTTTCACATATGTATATAATGATATTTATAAAAGCTGGGGTATGTAACTTGTATGTAAAACCACAAAAATAGAACTACTGTATGTCATAAAATCGATGTTCCTGGCTTTACCTGCTTCTCTCACAAGTTTCACATGCATATATTTTTGTTAGATCAGCTTAGTGGAGGTGGAGGTGGTGTGACATGACCTGAGAGAAGATTTAATGAGGTCTGTTCAAATGTAGGCTCAATAAGGATTACGGCTCATAAACACTGCTAATTGGAAATACACGCCCATGTCCAAAAGTCGGCTCTTGGCTCAGAGCTACTTTCTAGATGTGTGTCAATGCTAAAGGGAGTGATGTTTTTTGGACCATTCTAGTTTAGCCACAATGAATTTTAGAAATTTCGGCATATTTAACGAGCTGGCTGCCTTTTGTGCCAACGCGAATTGTGAAGGATATGCCATCAGCTAGCTGAGCTCTGATACGCTGACTGTTGTCATATATATGTTTGGAGCTAACACTGCTAACGTGGCTAATGTTACCAGCTTCGACAGCACTGTATGTGGATTCTGCTGCACAAGACACATGATGTAAATCTGATCAAAACAGGCTGCACTGAACATGCACTCAAGGGGAATGGTGACTTTGGCGAGTAAAACTAAATATTTTTTTTGGATTCCCCCATCCTTACTTTTTAAACACAATTCAGGGAAAAAGTATTTTTTGTCTACTTGATTAAATATATATATATATACAGTGCCTTGCGAAAGTATTCGGCCCCCTTGAACCTCAACATTTTGCCACATTTCAGGCATACATAAAGATATAAAAATTTTATTTTTTGTCATGAATCAACAACAAGTGGGACACAATCGTTAAGTGGAACTAAATTTATTGGATAATTTAAACTTTTTCAATAAATAAAAAACTGAAAAGTAGGACGTGCAATATTATTCGGCCCCTTTACTTTCAGTGCAGCAAACTCACTCCAGAAGTTCAGTGAGGATCTTTGAATGATCCAATGTTGTCCTAAATGACTGATGATGATAAATAGAATGCACCTGTGTGTAATCAAGTCTCTGTATAAATGCACCTGCTCTTTGATAGTCTCAGGGTTCTGTTTAAAGCGCAGAGAGAACCATGAAGACAAAGGAACACACCAGGCAGGGCCGAGATACTGTTGTGGAGAAGTTTAAAGCCGGATTTGGATACAAAAAGATTTCCCAAGCTTCTTCCCAAGCCCAAGGAGCACTGTGCATGCAATTATATTGAAATGGAAGGAGTATCAGACCACTGCAAATCTACAAAGACCCGGCCGTCCCTCCAAACTTTAATCTCAAACAAGGAGAAGACTGATCAGAGATGCAGCCAAGAGGCCCATGATCACTCTGGATGAACTGCAGATAACTACAGCTGAGGTGGGAGAGTCTGTCCATAGGACAACAATCAGTCGCGCACTGCACAAATCTGGCCTTTATGTAAGAGTGGCAAGAAGAAAGCATTTCTCAAAGATATTTATAAAAAGTCTCGTTTAAAGTTTGCCACAAGCCACCTGGGAGACACACCAAACATGTGGAAGAAGGTGCTCTGGTCAGATGAAACCAAAATCAAACTTTTTGGCCACAATGCAAAACGATATGTTTGGCGTAAAAGCAACACAGCTCATCACCCTGAACACACCATCCCCACTGTCAAACATGGTGGCGGCAGCATCATGGTTTGGGCCTGCTTTTCTTCAGTAGGAACAGGGAAGATGGCTAAAATTGATGGGAAGATGGATGGAGCCAAATACAGGACCATTCTGGAAGAAAACCTGTTGGAGTCTGCAAAAGACCTGAGACTGGGACGGAGATTTATCTTCCAACAGGATAATAATCCAAAACATAAAGCCAAATCCACAATGGAATGGTTCACAAATAGACGTATCAGGTGTTAGAATGGCCAAGTCAAAGTCCAGACCTGAATCCAATCGAGAATCTGTGGAAAGAGCTGAAGACTGCTGTTCACAAACGCTCTCCATCCAACCTCACTGAGCTCGAGCTGTTTTGCAAGGAAGAATGGGCAAGAATTCCAGTCTCTCGATGTGCAAAACTGATAGAGACATGCCCCAAGCGACTTGCAGCTGTAATTGCAGTAAAAGGTGGCGCTACAAAGTATTAGCGCAAGGGGGCCGAATAATATTGCACTCCCCACTTTTCAGTTTTTTATTTGTTAAAAAAGTTTAAATTATCCAATAAATTTCCTTCCACTTCACGATTGTGTTCCACTTGTTGTTGATTCTAGATTCTTTTATGTTTGAAGCCTGAAATGTTGAAAGGTTCAAGGGGCCGAATACTTTCGCAAGGCACTGTATATAGATTATATAGATAGATATAGTTAAACACAAATATATTTGTAAATACCTATATTGCCTATGGCTGCTGTAGTGCAGCTTGTAAATACTATATTTGACCAACACCACAAGTGTCTTTGGGTTACTCAAGGTATTAATTTATTGTTTTGAGATCTTATTAAATAAAAAGTAGTGGATTACCTTTGTAGCAAAGACATGTCCAGGCAGCTATCGTAGCGTTCACAGCTTTGGCAGTAAACAGTAACCACGTCCAACAGGAGAGCCACAGAAGCAGCGTAAGTACATCACCGCGGACCATGAAGCCATGCGGCTGCCTGATCACTGCCCAATTTGTGCCAGCTGACGCATGCGCAAATGGATCAGCGCGCTCCGAATCTCTTACCAGAAAGCGTTTTTTCAACTATTTTCTTGTGGGCGGGACCACTTGCGGCCATCTTGGAACCCTCCAGGAAAACACAATTTTTGGCCCATTTGTTTAAACGGCGGAGATTGCCGCGACTACATCCGTTAATATCATGGATCTATTAAAATAACTGGATAGGGTATTTCTAGCTTGTAGCTGAATAACTTATGTGCTCGGGGGATCCTCGCGGTACTGCAGACTGAACCAGACTAAATTCACGTGGGCTACCCAGAAATTTTCCCCATAGAACTCAATGCATATTAAAACATCTCAACCTCAGCTGACAGAGAACCTACAGCTTTAATAAAGATCGGATTTTGTGGGGATTTTAGTATCCCTTGTCATCCTGAACTTTTTTTCTTCTTAAATCCTTCGGTTTTCTTTAAATCCACACTTTATTGCCACAAACTCTGCTCGTCTGGCTCTCGCTCTAACTCCCGCTCTGATGACCTGCTCTGATTGGTCAGAGCGCGGCCGAGCCCCTCTGTGCACGTGTGTGAGACCTAGTGTGAGACCCACACACGCGTGTTTGGTGCAACTCATTATGCGAGATCATCCACTGCGCAGAACCGGGAGGACCAGACGATGCCCAAATACAGGCGAGTTTCCCATAGATCTTTGCGAGTTCCAGGCGATTTCCGCTAATCTTTCATCCCCCATGCCGTCACAAAGCGCCACTGAGCACAACCATTCATTTGAATAGGGCGCCATCTTGGATCGCTGGGGCTTGGTTAATAATTACGGTCTTTGGCTTGTTCCACTAATCTTTTGGTCCCCATGTAGGTCCCACGCGCTACTGAGCACAAGCCCTTCATTTGAATAGGACGCTATCTTGGATCACCGGGGCTTGCACGGCTCCCAGTGAAAACACATGGGAAACATGTTTTTGCCACCAGTCTTTAGCACTAGATCAGCTCCACGCACGCACGCACGCACACACACACACACACAGCACTTGTATCTAAACATTAGAAGGAGACATGTGACCTGGGCTTTTTCACAATTAAACATAAGAGAGCAATGTGGTAATTGTGGTTTGGCAGCTCTGTATGTCTGAGCGTGTGATGAGTGACCTGCGGAAGTCGAGCAGCGTGCGGCTAGCAGAGGGCGCTCCAGAGCTCAGCCAGGTCAGGAAGTGGAATTGCGTCACGGTGCGTGTCTCGTTTGTCTGCATGTTCTTCAGGTAGAAGCTGCGAACCAGGAAGTCGTCACACCAGATGTGTTCGGACACCAGGTTCACCTAAACACAAAGACATACTGGTTGATCTTCTAGTAGAAGACTTCTCTCATGCAATGCTGTAGATTTTGTGTTCTTTGTAAAAATACAAAATACAACTCTTGTTCCCATGAAGTTTCTCATCGTGTACATGTGGCAGATTATAGTCTTTTCTCACCTCATGCATGTGACAGAATTTAGTCTTTTCTCACCTTGTACATGTGGTAGATTATAGACTTTGTCTTGCCCTATATATGTGACAGATTATAGACTGTTTTCTCACCTCGTATATGTGGTACAGGTTAGAGCCCTCATCAGGCCAGTAGTGATAGCACTGCTTCACTCCACTCTCCACCAGAGGAGTCAACATGACGATGACCACACAGCCGTTCTCCCATACCATCTGCAAACAGCAAACACAAGGCAATGCTTAAAGGGATAATCTAGAAGTAAACTTTTCTCAGCTTTTGACCATTACACTAGAGCTGTAATCGGCCTGAAGAGTTTAGCCCGGTCTGGCCAGAACCCCAGAGGATTCTGCCTGAACCCTACCCAAACAAGACCCTTGACTATTTTTTCCAAGCCCAAGTCCTTTTATTTCCCATTTGCAGTAAAACCACACATACATTTGCAATAATAAACCACACATACATTTGCAAAAGTCCCAAGTGTGCACAGGACAAGTACATAAATAAAACAAGGTTAAAGGTACAGAAATACAACTATTGTTTTTTAAAAGTGAAGGGCTGCCCTTTTTCACCGTTCTGTTCACTGTGTTTATGGACAGAATTTCTAGGCGCAGCCAGGGGCCGGAGGGGGTCCGGTTCATGGACCACAGGATTTCATCCCTGCTTTTTGCGGATGATGTTGTCCTGTTGGCTCCAACGAACCAGGACCTGCAACATGCGACAATTCATCCATTTGAATTTAAAGCTCCGTCTGACTGGAACAGTTTCCCGTTGTCTATTCGCTCTCTAACCTCTCTGCTTCTGTTTAAAACTGCTCTTGTACAATATCTCCAGAATTCATGTCAATGTTTTTGATCTTAGATTATGAGACCCTAAACTTGTCTTTACTGTCTCCTTATTATTATTGTTACTAATATACTATTAATATTAATAATATTACCCTTATTTAGTGTAACTACAGTACAGTCACGTGTGTGTGTGTGTGTGTGTGTGCACTTGTTTTCAACTCCTGGTGGGTTCCATAACCTGAGATTCCGCTCACGTCATGGGGACTGGTTTTACGTGGTGGGGCCCGAACACCGGACCCCACTGGTCCAAGCTTAATAATCAATGGGTAATGCTTTTCTAACGGTCCTTATGCAGTCTCTGTAAAAATATGGAAAGGACCCCTGGAGGTTTACTTTCCTGAAAAAAGTGTGTTATGTGTCGGAACCCTGGTGGTGGGTTGCGGGATATCAAGGAGGGGCACACTGGGGCAATTTCAGTCCAGCAGGCTGGAGCCAATCATGGAGCAGCACAACAGAGGAAATCAGGTGTCAGGCTAGAAAAAGGTGCAAGTGTGTGGTTCATTAGGCTGCAAGAAATCATGGAGGAGCACACTGAAGCGCACGCTTACAAACCACTGGTAAGTGCTGACTACAAGTCATGACTTAAAATTGTTATATAGAATGATTACAAATTATTTGTTGTTTGTGCAGCTTAGTCAAGAGTCCCTAATTGATGAAGTCGACTCAGATTCTGACGATTTAACTGTCAAGAAGAAACCTGTAAAAAAGTATGGAAAAAGAAAAATCAAAAACACTTTTCTTCAAGACTCGGAAAGTGACGAACCAAAGGCAAATAAGATTGTTATCATGCAGCTGCAAAAGAAGAAAAATGGGGGGCGAGTTTATAGCAAGAGACACTTCTGCCTCTACTGTTCAATGTCCTGCCACAAAATGTCCCGTCATTTGACTAGAAAACATGGAAATGAAAGTCACGTAGCCAGAGCATTGGCTCTACCTGTGAAATCTAAAGCACGTAAACTTCAGTTTGATTTGATCAGGAATAGTGGAAACCGTGAGCACAATTTTGAGGTTTTAAAGGCCGGCATTGGAACTTTAGTCCCAGCTAAACAGCCAAATTGCCCAGTTAAATCCAGTGAGTTTTTGCACTGTATAGACTGTGGCAGGGCCGGAGTGGGACAACATTTCAGGCCGGGAGCTTTTCATCCATTCAGGCCAAACAAGGTTCTAAATTTGGGTTTTTGTCATTGTATTTTGATGTTCTTTTAATAGTTTTAAGATTGACTGTCAAAACTTTTGTTTTCTTTTTTTTTTTTATATATATTGACTGTTTATATAATCTCGGACGTTTAAGGATTGTTGTACGTTGCTTAGCAACGTAACGTTTATGGAGTTTAGTGAGAATAAAGACACACACACACACACACACACCCACACACACACACACACACACACACACACACACACACACACACACACACACACACACACACACACACACACACACACACACACACACACACACACACACACACACACACACAATGAACTAAGTGTTCATTAGTGTATAACTATAACAAGCTAATCAATTATTGTTAAAAAAAAGTAGTAAGGTAAAATCACATCGTTACAGCTCATATAAAAGGACAAATAAAAACGTGTATGAACCATCAGTTGGAGAGACCACTCATTTCAACCGGGGAAGCTACACTGGGTGCACTGCTAGGCTGGCCTGGCTGTGTAGCCGACTTGTGACGTCACATTTGTTTAATTTTGCTCTGGCCCAATGACAGTAAAGCTTTGGCCAGTGTTGTGCCAGTTCACAGCTTTTCTGAACTAGTTCAAGTTCAGTTCATACATGCTCAAAGTGAACAGTTCACGTTCGAAGTTCTCAATTTTAATTCTGAACTAGTTCAAAGTTCAGTTCATTTTACTTTTTGCGAGATATTCAAATAAATATTTTTTTTCACTACGAGCTAGAAATCACAATACGTGGTATATATATATATATATATATATATATATATATATATATATTATATATAATTATATATTATATCCTGTACACTGCACAGGATGTTTTGACTCCAATGCAGACAAGATTTACATGGGTTTCAATGGGAACTGAGTTGTCCCATCTTATGAGCTTAACTTCCCATTAACTTATGAGCAGCATAAGTACAAACTGTAATGCGCTGCAGAACGTGTGTCTATACTTTATGTCAAATGTAAACGGTCCTGTGTCACTGACTTACCCCTGTGTTTTCATCACGGCACATGTGAGTCCAACAACCAATGAATAGCACTAGCATATAGCGCCGCACCGCAAGTAGTACACTGAGTCGGGGTGCGTTCACAGACGGTGGAAACCGTAGGAATATTTAGTTTTCGGCGGAAACAGTGCGGAGAATACAGGAGGGAGGAACTTTCTCTCGTTGCGTTTCAATGGAGAAAACAGATTTCACTCAGTTTTAAATGGAAAACAAATTGTCCGCCGTTCATGACACATAATATGAACTAATTCACGTTCAAGTTCTTTATTAAAAAATGTGTTGCGTTCAGTTCAACGTTCACGAAAAAATGAGCGTGTTCAATGAACGCGTTCTTTTGAACTCGTTCACGCACAACACTGGCTTTGGCCTGGGCCTTGCTCATTGGACCAGGCCACCAGGCAGGGTAGGAGTTTGCAAAGGCCGTGAGGATGAAATAAAAAAAAAAAAAAAAAAAAAGACCGTGATGATAGGGCAGGCCCAGGCCACTTTGACGCGCAGGCCACCGGGAGATCTCCCGATGCTCCCGATGGCCAGTCCGGGCCTGGACTGTGGGGCATTGCTTAAGCGAAAGTCGCTGTGGAGGCATGTGGCCAGGTGCCGGCTTTCACAGAAAGATGCCCAGGCTAAACCAGGTAGAAGTAGGGTCCAGTCCCTCTGCTCCCTAGCCCAGCCTGTACCGGAGGGCATCAGCAAAAAGCTGTGGTCTTTAATTTCGGCAATGCATCAGGATGAGGTCACGGGTGTTGTCAAAGCAGAAAAGGGGATTCTGAGACTCGGAGAGCACCTGTACTTAAAACACGGGCATGATAAGACTAAGCATGATTACATTAGGCAGAAAATGAGAGAAGTCGGTAGGTTAATTAACGAAGCAAAAACTGCAGGGAAACTGAAAACAATTAAGGATTTCTTTATTCCTTCCAACTTTAACCATGTGATTGATGCAGTCAGGTCTGTGGCTGGATATGATGAGGAAACAAATCAATACAAGACTCCATCCTTGGCCCTCAAACTTGGCCATAGCCTCAGAAAGCTAGCAGATATTCTTGAATGTGACTCAAAAATGGAGCATTGTGTTGATGAACTATTTATTAAAAACCTCCAACGAAGCCGGCTGCTTTTTGAGAAGAGGTGGGACGTCTGTGTTTCTTCTGCTGCCCTACAGACCCTCCGGCAAGCCAAGTGGAACACTCCGGACCTGCTCCCTCTGACTGAGGACGTTAGAGCCATGCATGCACATATTGAGGTATGTCGACCTGAATATGTGCAAACCCTAATAAGTGAGCCAACGTCTAAGCATTGGTCTAAACTGGCAGTTTTGACTCTTTGTGAGGTCATTATTTTCAATCGAAGAAGGGAAGGTGAGGTTTCAAAGATGCCACTGACAGCCTTTACCTTAAGAAGTAAGACTGGGATCCATTCTGACATTGCTCTGGGACTGTCCCAACTTGAGAAAAAGCTGTGTCAGCATTTTCAACGCATTGAAATTAAAGGGAAAAGAAGTCGGAAAGTGCCGGTTCTTTTGACTCCTGAAAAGATTGCTTCGATGGAGGTGCTGGTGGAGAACAGAAGGGCCTGTTCCATCTCTGACCATAACCCATACTTCTTTTCCCGCCCGGGCGCAGACACCGACATCAGGTGATCAGACTCCCTACGCCAGTTAGCCAAAGAATGTGGTGCGGTGCATCCAGAGATGCTATCCTCAACCAAACTTAGAAAGCACTGCAATTCGAAAAAAAAAATCTAAAATAAAATTCCTTTAAAATAGTTGTTTGGTTTCTATTGACTGTTTTGTATTACTTAAAGTAGTCCCAGTAAAAAAAGATTATGTCTATGGGTCCCATTCTGAACGGCCCTGTCAAAGAGACCCACCAGGTAACAAAAACGTGTGTGTGTGTGTGTGTGTGTGTGTGTGTGTGTGTGTGTGTGTGTGTGTGTGTGTGTGTGTGTGTGTGTGTGTGTGTGTGTGTGTGTGTGTGTGTGTGTGTGTGTGTGTGTGTGTGTGTGTGTGTGTGTGTGTGTGTGTGTATGTATTTTTTATGGTTGCTTTTTTATTTCTATGTTATTTTTTTTATTTTTCTTGTATTTGTATTTTGTTTGTATCTGTTTTGCTGTATCTGTCATCTTGTGAAAATCTTGAGGACCCCCTCGTAAACGAGA